TTTTCATGTCTTCTCGACGTCTCAAAGCGCTTCACAGATTATGCTGTAAAGTGAATTGACTGCATATTTGTACAAACAACCTTGTTTGTAAAGGGAAATTGCTAAATCACAACAAGACTTCACATCGTATTCTTATTTGATGTACTCACGTGCATTTTCCAGAACATTCTCCAGCAATTATCTATTAAGTGAATGGTTGTCAGTAAAAGATATGATGCTTTTGTTGTTCTGATACCAACCCAAAGCATCTACCTAGACACAAATAAGAAGGCAAATGAATAATGCCTTGCAATCTGATCATCAACCACTCAGGGGACTGGACCAAAGTGGCTTTTATGTAAGGGTTTGTTTAATAATAATAATAACCTGTTAATAACTGGAAGTAACCTTGTTTATGATTTTCCCCATTCACAGGAACATACTGTAAATCCACAGGATGTTTCTCTGCTTATAATGTAAATGTACCAACTGACCTTGGCGATGTGTAACCATAAAGGGGAAAACCTAACCTCAGAGCTCCATATATTTACTGACCAGCAGAGAATTTGCCTCTCCTTGATGTCTTAGACTTAACCAAACTATCAGATTTCAAGAATAGAGCTATGTGTTAAAAGACACCATTGACTTAATGCATTAATTTATTAGTTAATTTCTGCCCCCTTCCCTCAAGTCCATGGTCAGCTTAGCTATGGTGGACTTGCTTACAAGATATACATTGAGCACTGGTTTTGTGTTGATAAAATATGTATTGAGATAAAAATCAATATGTTGTCTCCCTCTGCTGTTTCAGGGAGGAACTGTAGTTTGAGAATTACAGGGTTTATTTTATTGAACACATTCAAATATTATTAATTTTATTTGAGATAGGTAAAACTGAAAGGGAAAGCATTTAGAATCATAGATAGTTTACACCACAGAATGATATCTGTGCTGGTGTTAGCTTCCCCAGTGGAGCTATCTTCTCTAAGTTATGTCAGCCTGGCCCAGCTGATAGCACTGTCACCTCAGATTCAGAACGTTGTTGGTTAACACATGTTGGATCTCAGAATTCACAATTTAAGGTGAGACTACAAATTGGATAAAATGTTAAACCGAGGTCCCGTCTGCCTATTCAGGTTGTAAATATCCCGGCTGCAGACAGTGATAGGAGTATAGATCTTAATTCAAGATGTTATATTATTGAAATTGAGACATAAAATCACAATGCAACTGTACCAGTTACCCGATACAAAACACAATCGATATGACGCAGTTAATCTTAAATCAATAAACTACAATCTTTACGTCTGTCGTCGGCCTCTAGGAAACCCTCGGAGCCTACCGACCTTATACTTCTAAATACCACAATGACCGGCCCCCGGCAAACCCTCAGGGACAACCGATCTAAGGAATACTCTATTATTAATTATTATTATTAATTATTAATTAATCTCAACCCGTAATGAGACTCTAGCTCAGTGCCTCACTCACGCTATCTGACCTGGCCTCGCTTCCTTCATGCACCAGTTACCCTTGCACTAACACCTCCTTGCCTGATTTTACAGAACAACTGAAAACATACTACCCGTTTTCAGCATCCGGACAAGTGGCAGGTGGAGGTCGTCACTTCTCTTCTCGTGGATGCTTCCTCAACTGTTGTGTCGAACCACTCTTTTTCTTTATCTTTATACCCCATTACCATCTTTGGACATTGACCAGATATTCCCCTCTTGATCCTGCTATCTGGCGTGAAACCTTTTTTTTGCTCAGTATTCCTGCTCTAGTTAACCTACTTATTCTAAACAATACCCTTTCTTGTATCTTTATCTCAAATAAAAGAATGGTTCTCAAACATCCCATTCTTTCTTAAAGCATCTCATGTAAATATCTCCTCCATTCAACCCTAATCTCCCTTCTGTCTTGTGACCCATTGGAGCTCGAGGAGTCAAGAAATGTCTCAGTTGATGTATTTAATTTAATTTAATCGTGGAGTCCTGTAGCTCAGTGGTTAGAGCACTCGCTTTGCAAGCGAGAGACCTGAGTTCAATTCCAGGCAGGGCGAAACCTTGGGCAAGTTTCCTTACTCCACACGCCTGATAATAATCCCTCCAAAAACAAAAACAAAAATAAAAAAATTGGTCATTTTCAATCTACGACTGTTTGTGGGACATTGCTGTACGCAATTGGCTGCCGCATTCGCCCATAAAAATACAGTCAATTCACTTTACAGTGTGAGACGGCGCTAAGGAGTATGCGATTTGTACATATTTCATCGTAACGGACTGTTGTATACATGGGTTTTTTG